CATCAGTCGACTGATATTCTAGAGCTTCATCTAATGATGGCACCTCAGTAGGCTGAGATGAAAAATCAGTGTGCTGATTTTCATTTGAAGATTTTTGAAAACCAGGATTTTCAGAATCACTTAATTTTTTTACATTTGACTCAGGATTTGGAACTATCCCTTGAAATTTTTTGAGTCTGTTTTCATGTACAATTTTGGCCTTGTTATTTGTCATAATTTTGAAGGTATTATCGGAAAGTTTTTCTGATACTTCATACGGGCCAGTCCATGGATTGAGGAACTTGGGTGAATGCCCAGGCTTTACAACAGGGACATGTAACAGCACTTTATCACCAACATGAATTCGTTGCCCAGTTGACTTTACATCATAGAGTCTCTTTTGATTTTCGGAATTGATTTTGATATTTGAACGGGCAGATTCAAAAGTTAGCAAAAGTTGGTCTCTTAATTTTTCACAATAATGGGTGTAAGACATGTTTTCTTGTGAATCGTCAGGAGGAGGACCAAAAACTAGTTCCGAAATGAGGCGTGGATGTCGTCCGAACATTAGAAAGGCTGGAGAAAATCCGGTTGTCTCATGTTTAGCGCTACGATAAGCTGCGGCGATAAAAGGAAGGTGTTCGTCCCAATCGCGGTGATCGCTAGCCACAACTTTAGCCAACATGGATTCGATAGTTCGGTTCGATCGTTCCACCATCCCGTCCGATTGGGGGTGGTACGAGGTAGTTCTTGTTTTAATAATATCAAGCATGGAACACAATTCTTGGAAGAGCAAACTTTCAAATTGTCGACCTTGGTCCGAGTGTAAGATTAACGGTGCACCATAACGGCTGACAAATTCATTCAAAAATGCGGACGCAACTGTGCTGGCCTCTTGATTTTGCATGGCGACAATTACGAGAAATTTGGTGAAATAATCCTCGATAATGAGAACATATTTGTTGCCAAACATAGTTTCCGGCAAGGGTCCGAGAATATCGAGTGCAACGCGTTCTAACGGTGCCCCTACGTTATAGTTTTTCATCGGTGCCCGCAGCTTTTTACAAGGAGATTTGCGTCTTTGGCATTCAAGACATTTGGCCACCCACCTAGTAATGTCGGCTTTGTAACCCAACCAATAGAATTTGTTTCTCACTCTATGAATAGTTTTTCCAACACCTAAATGACCAGTATCTTTTGCATTATGATTTCCCTTTAGAACATGTTCAATCAAAGATTTTGGTACCACAAGTTGCCAAATAACATCTTTCCCGCTTAGCCATTTTCTCTCAAGATAACCGTCACGTAAACGCAATCGATCCCATTGAGACCACATGTGTTTCAGTTCTGGTGATCTGTGAGAGACTTCAGCCCAGGGAGGACGATGGGCACTTTCCATCCATTTAACCATTGGAGCTAAAAGAGGATCTAGATTGATTGCTTTATTATATTCAGATTTGGTAACGCCTTCTAACCAGTTACAACTAGTGATAGGAGCTTCTGACAAAGGAACCTTTTTCTCAGTCTGCTGAGAAATGACCCTAACTGATAACTGAGGAGCCAATGTTATAACCAGCCTTACTTTTGATTCAAGTTGATCAAGATCAGTTTTCTCAGAAACAGTCGTGACAGTTTCTGAAGTTTCTACATTTGAAACTTTGACCTTGTCTGAAATGACCCTACCCAGAGATTCCTGTCTGTTACAATGTGAGCAATCCACACAAGGACGTCTCGATAAAGCATCTGCATTTCGATGCTGCGTACCCGGCCTGAATTGAATGGTAAAGTTGTATGTGCCTAGAACTTGAAGCCAACGGGCCAATTGACCTTCGGGTTCTCGAAAACTCATAAGCCATGACAATGCCCCGTGATCTGTTCGAATTTTAAATTCACTGCCATACAAGAAATGATGGTAGTGCTTGACAGAACGTACGATTGCCAAAAGCTCCCGCCTAGTCACGCAATATTGCCGTTCGGCTCGGTTGAGAGAACCAGAAAAGAAATCTATCGGCCGCTCTACGCCATCTTGAATTTGAGACAAAACTCCACCAATTCCGCAGGAACTGGCGTCGCAATCAAGAATGAATGGAAGAGACATATCAGGAAAAGCTAGAATTTCAGATTCCCGAAAATGTTGTTTCAGCGTTTCGAATGTTTCTTGACAAGTTTCGGTCCATTCAAATTTTGAGTTTTTCTCTGTAAGACGGTTTAGGGGTCTCGCTTCCGTGGAAAGACCTTTTACAAACTTTCGGTAATAATTGCAAAGACCGAGGAACGCCTGCACATCTCTAACTTTTCTTGGTGTCGGCCATTTTTGAATCAACTCGATCTTAGCTGGATTTGGACGGACTCCGTCCTTCGATATTACATGACCAAGGAATTCAACACTCTCTTGAAAAAGATTGCACTTTTTGGGCGATAATTTCAATCCGGCAGATCGTAAGCGGTCAAAAACATCGGACAATCTTTGAAGTTGCGTATCTATGTCAGAACTAAACACGATGATGTCGTCGAGATAGACGAGACATGTTTCATATCTAAGACCGGCCAAGATACATTCCATAAGCAGTTCGAATGTCGCGGGGGCGTTACAAAGCCCGAACGGCATGACATTAAATTCGTATAAACCCTGGTGTGTGGTAAAGGCGGTTTTCTCGGAATCTTCAGGATCCATTTCGACTTGCCAATATCCCGACGCGAGATCTAATGTAGAGAACAATTTTGAGCCTGCAAGCGAGTCGATTGTGTCATCTATTCGCGGAAGTGGATATGCGTCTTTATAGGTTAGCTCGTTGACACGACGGAAATCAATACAGTAACGGATAGTATTGTCTTTTTTTGGCACAAGTACCACAGGAGATGCCCATGGACTTGTCGAAGGTTTAATAATTCCGAGTTCTAGCATGTCTTGAACGGCTTTAGTACTTTGTTCTTTTTTCGCAGGCGGAACACGCCGCGGTGCTTGTTTCACTGGTGCATGAGACCCAGTGTTGATTTTATGTTTGATAATATTTGTTTTTCCCAGATCGAGTTTGGATTTCGCAAATAATTCTTGATTTTTCACGAGAAAGTCTGTCACTTTCTTCGCATCATCCGAGTTCAAATTTACCGTACTTCTGTGGCACAAGTCTTTTAAATGTTCCGGTATTGTGCATTCATTTTTTAACTCGGTTGATTTATTTTCCCATTTGTTTTTTACTAAGACCGGCTCGCTTGCCAAATGATTGATTGAAGGAGCGGAATTTATTGTTTCTGTCTTGATAACAGGGCTAAGTGTCGGTTCCTGTGGTGCTCGGTGAACCACGATCCCCGCATCCAAAATTTGACCATTAGCTATCTGGCTGTCTTTATGAAGAAGCACCGGTTCTGGACTGAGGTTGGTGACCAAAACAGGAATGTTTTCATTTGATGGATCAACTATTGCGCGCGCAATTAAAACATTTTGTTTGGCAACCTTACCACTCATTTCTATGATCATGTCAGTATCGTCACTATCAAACTGAACTAGAGCCTTACCCCTTACCAGCATTTCTGAATATGGAGGCACGGAAACAGTTTCAGTCATGGAGATGTGATACACTGTAGGAAGTCTACTTTCAAGAGTACAAAGAAAGGCTTTATTCTGAATAAACAAAGTCTTTGCTAATATGTCTAGGACAGCAGAATTCAGGACCATAAAGTCGTAACCAAGAACTAAGTCACAATTTAGATCTGCAATGAGCAAGTGTTGCATGACCTTGACACCTTGTCCTAAATTGAGCAAAACAGACATTTGACCAAGGGATTTGACAGAATGTCCATTCGCTACGATAACGCTGGGCCCAGCGGTTTTTGATAAAGCTATGGTTTTATTCAAAGACTCCAATCTCTTCGCAAATTTTGGGCTCACCACACTTATAGAAGCCCCAGTATCTATTAGGCAATAAGCTACTATACCCCCCAGCTCGATAGGTAAATATAACGCGTTATAAACACTATCTCCATGTTGCTCACCAGGTCCCATCATTGACCCAGTAGTATCATCCGGACCTGAAGATGACACTACTTCGCGTTTTTTGAATACGACCAATTTTGCGATTGTCTGTTTTTGTTACCTTTATTTTCGTCAGATCGCGTCAGATCGGCTACTCGATGTCCGTGTTTCCCACAATACCAACAAGTGTTAAAATCGCGAAGCTCTTTCAAGTCCGCTTGCATTTTTTCAAGTTCTTGTGCCAAATGTTGATAATCATCAGACTTGTGGTGACCCGGCTTTGCGGAGTTTTCATTAGTTGCCACTCGAACGACAGGATTGATCTTTTTAGCGCGGTTGGAATGAACGGAATCATATTTCAATGCTATCTGCAAAGCTTCATTTAATGAGCGAGGTTCACCATGTTTAACGACCCACTCAAAATTAATATCATTCAGAGCCTTGCGGAAAGCATCAATTGCCATGACTTCTTTAATATCGGCACTAGCATCCGGATACGCTTTTTGGACCAATTGTCTAATTTCATGCGCAAGTTCGGCAACACTTTCATTAGGTTGACGGAGACGATCTTTCAATTTGTCACGGAAATTTCCGGCTTGATGTGGCGGATCAAATCTCATATTCAGAGCATAAATGATATCATCATAATTGTCTCGTTCAACATCATCAAGATCCGACAAAATAGAAAGAGCTTTGCCACGCAATACACCAATAAGTTGAACCGCTTTGGTGGATGGTGACCATCTATTGATACTAGAGATCATTTCAAATTGTCTCCGATAATCTGGCCAATTTTGTGTGCCGTCAAAATGCTGAAGTTTTGGCGCATTTGGTTTTGTAACTCCGGCCGGAGGTGAAACTGGTGTAGAAGTGGAAAGCGGAACTGTTTCCCTTGGGCTTTGAATTTTAATGCTTGGAGTAGTTGCTACAGAATGCACAAGATTTGTTCTCGCTTTTGACACGACATTTGTATTGGGGATCGTTGATAAGGGAGGAGCTTGTACGTCATAAATGCTCACACTAGGTGGAGCAATATTTGAGTCAGTGACGCGCATGTTCATAGGAATATTTTGAACATTGAAAGGTGGCGCTGAACCAGAATAGTTTGGAAATGGCATAGATGGAGGAAATCCACCCATGGCATGAGCAAACCCAGGATGCAATGGAGGAGGAAATCGCGGTCTATACATTGAATGAGGATCATGATAACCATACATTTGAGGTCCGTACATATCGGCATAGTCCCAAGGAGGGGCATATGATCCGGTAGAAAAACGTGAAGGAGCAAATTGCTGATGTTCAAATGACTGAGGTGGTTGATTTAGTCTAATCTGAGGGTCACGTTGATCATATTGAGCATGAGGTGGTACATATATGCGACCTTGACGCCTAAGACGGGGACGCGATGGAGTGACCTCTTCAGTTTGTATGGGATCAGGAAACTGATTTCCGAAATATTGATCATTTCTTGGTATCGGGAGATTTGATTTGATTTGTTCAAAAGGCGATTCCCTTTTAGATTCTCCGAAAGTCAATTTGGTTCGAACGTCATCAAATTTTGCATTCTTTGGACGCGCGCCACCGATTGTTTCATACGATGTAGTTGGTTCAGACCATTTAATTGTATCAGGCAATGAAATGACTGGATTGAGAATTGGATGTGGATCTGACGAAACCTGCGTATCAATCATTGTATTCACACCGCTGTCTTTGGCGATAGCGCCGGTTGTTTGACTAGCAGGAATGTCCATTGACACGTCATCGTCAGTTATATGAACTTTTTTGACAGTCTCCTCACCTGATGCAGGAGGAGACTGGATACTCCCGGAATCACCGACTAGGCTATTCTCCGGACTTGTACTTCGCGACGCCATTTTTACGATATTTTGGATTATGTAAAATGCTTGTTTTATGTTCACTAAAATATGACACAATAAGAGATCACCACTTCTGACACCAAATTGTAATGACCTGACCTAGTTTTATCACTGAAAGGGCCGATGTCAAATCACTACATTAAAAATAGATGGGACTCTGGGTTTAACTACAAGTTAATTTATTGTGTATTCAGTTGGTTGAATTTGGCTAAAAGAGGGCAGCACTATAATATGTTAGGTATTTATGAATAATTGAATATTCACCAGCAATGGACTATCTCTTCAATGACAGTACCTTACTATGTCACACTGGTAATAAGTGAATTACTCTCAAGCAGTGGACTGCATTGATTAAAAGACTAGTATATTCCAAACAGGCAGTAGGCTGCACTGTTCTAAATAATGACAGCACTTAACTGATATGTCACTCTAGTGACATAATAGGATAGCACACTCTCCTCAGCAAATAACTGTACAAAAAACAAGCATTTTAAGGTTATCTATATAAAAACAGGAATAATTTTATTGCTCTCTTGTACAAAAAGTTATATGTAATATCAAAAGTGTATATCTCTTAAAAACCTTTATTTATTAAAGGGAATGACTAAAAAGTACTTTGATTGATGCTCTCTGCAATACTGAAATACTATTTCACTGAACGCGATATTCCACTATTTACTTAATCATGTGAGAAATAAATGATGTATCTCCACCATGATATCAAAACGCGTTCCAATATTATGCTAAAACTCGATTTCAATAACCGGCTTTTTTATTATGCAAAAATGACTAAAACTATTACCTTGAGATTTCACCCATTGCCTTGAGACAGTTTAGCTGTACTCTATAAGCAATGCTAAAACCTAAAGACTGACTAGTAATCCTCTATAAAAAGTTCTCAACAATGAACTGATTTATCCAACTAAGGTGACTACAAAAATATATAGAGCAGATACAATCATAGCACTAGACTCAGATGATTGGAATGTCAAAACATATATACAGTGATCACGAATTTAACTGAAGTTGGCAAAAATAAGCATTTGGCTTGATATTTACACTAACTAAATTCTACTATGTCTGTATGATAAATATAGAGAGTATTGAAATATTGTCCCTTAGACCTTAAGCACAATGGTCCAAAAAGTCAATACTCTAGATATTGAAATTGAGCAAATACCCTCACTTAGAGATGTGTCCACAGGGTGAGTGCATGGATAAACTAAAATCAATTTCAATCATAAAAAACTACTAATGTTTAGACTGTGCCTGATAAATTACTTCAACTTGGTGCTTAAAATAACAGATATGCAATATATCTTGCAATTCTGGTTACTAGAGAGAAATCTGAGATTCTGAGAAATTGGCAAAAAGTGATCAACTCACTTTCAGAATGCTAAAAAAATGTCAATTGAAAACTCAACTAAACTGACAAAATCATTCGCCTTATTATCCTAGCATATGTTATTTGTAAAAATAAAGTATGGATGGCAAGAGAATACACTGATATTAGGCGATTTGGTGATAGAAAATATTGAGAAAATTCCCAGAATTTTCAATATGGCCGATCTCACTGCGAGAAATACTCAAAGTTTTAGCCTCAAAAATCACGATAAATATTGAATAAAAGTGTGCGGCTTTCACACAAATGTTACTTTATTGCACAAAATGCATGATTTTGTAAAAATACTTGATTGATGGCAAGAGAAAGAGTGAAACAACTCTGCGCAAAAATTATAACAATTCTCCGAACAAAGGAAAAAAGATGGCGGAAATTGCACAAAGTTTTCAAATCACTCAAAACTGAAAAAATATCAAACTAGGGAATGCGTCGTTTTCACAGAATGTAATCTATGATATAAATACAAAAATAATCATAAATTTAACCTCAGATGCCTCAATAGTGATGAGAAACCAAAGTTCAAAAATGATCACCTTTACAAATTTTGACTGACGCAGCAAAGTTGCGCAACAAATATTCAATAAATTTTGGCTTCGGCCTAAGAAGCAGTAAAAAATAAGCGATTAGAAACTTACCCCCGATTTCTGAGTCTGATTATTCATACTATCCCGATTCGCAAGTTTAAGTTTCGAAAGAGCCAGCAAAGTCCGAGACTGGTCAGTGTGCTGACGCAGTCAGTGATCCCGAAAGTATGACTAGAAAACGCTGAGTTCGTTCCTCGCTCTACTGAGACAATTGATTTTACGTAAGCTGACTTTTGATTGGTTAAAAGTAAGGCGAGCCCTGATTGGCTAAAAAATGTCGTAAACCATAACGTAAGTGAGTTAGCTAAACCCGGAAATAGAATTAAATCTCAGAAAAATAAAATATGATTCCAAGTTGAATAAATATCAGTTAAATACAGTCATAAAATATAAATATAACATATTTACAGTACAAAAATACTTCCCTTATAGTGCATCCTTTAGTCAGTCTCTCTCACTTCGCCTGCATCGTAAATAAAACTGATCTTCCAAAGTGAAAAATAAAAAACAATCTCAAGTCTGTCTAATGCATGAAGATCAGCAGTAAAGTAAGGTAAGGCAATCTGACATCCACCAAATCAATTATGATAAATTACTAAAAATGCTGAAAAATAGGATAGAAACAAAAAAAATTGATTGTGGCGGTTGTCACAGTATGTTTAAATAATGATATTATCAGACTGAGGTTGTTAATGTTATTATGCATAAAACAGACATAGAATATTTTTGCGTACCTTTGAAATTGTGGGCTATGCCGGAGGGTTAGGTTAGGCTGAGAAGACTTAAACCCCTAACTATACCCTGGATAGGGGCGTAGTGGGGGATGGAAATAGGGTCGATTTTTGGGGCCTCTAAGACTATCTGTTCTGACCTAGGATGAAGGTTCTGACCTAGGATGAAGGTTCTGAGGTTCCTAGGTTCTGACAGAGATCCCAAAAATATAAAATGTTGTCGGAGGAATAGACCCATACAGATTGCACTAGAGCAAAAGACGAATTGATGGCATTGATAGAGCTGATTCAAAAGTAGTTGTTATTCAATGACACCGCCGCCTCAAATGAGGGTATGGGGTGAAACAGTAAGCACAATTACCCAAATCTTAGACTCGACACCTGGGTCAGAACAATTTCATTATAGGGTTGAGGGTGTCACTATAAGAGAGGGCCGCGACGAACACCCAGGTCTCACTATAAGAGAGGGCCGCGACGAACACCCAGGTCTCACTATAAGAGAGGGCCGCGACGAACACCCAGGTGAACACCCAGGTGAACACCCAGGTCTCACTATAAGAGAGGGCCGCGACGAACACCCAGGTCTCACTATAAGAGAGGGCCACGACAAACACCCAGGTGTCACTATGTATAGAGGTCAGTCGGGCCTTGATGTAACAAATTGCTTTGAGCGCGGTGCAGAGAACAGGTATGACGAGCTACATTTTACTCTTATACCTTACAACTATGTGGAGCCGACTGATGATGATCACTTTGTCGAAAATGTGTTAACGTCCTTAAAAAGCGCCTTGCCGCTGCCATCTTTATTCAAAAGCTATTTTTGTAGTCCTTGTACTTCATGTTGCATGCCTTAGCGCTTTGGCAAAACATGCACCAAAACATTGAATATTATTATATGATATGACTGTGCTTAGCACTTTTAGTCATATAAAAATGTTTTGTTTATAATTGTCTGTAGTATTAGTGATTGTTAGTCTACAAAACCGTACGGCACAGACATCCAGCCATCAATCAACCTACAAGCATAGCAATGCGTAAGGGAACATGGGGGCAAAACGGCCCTAAAAAATTAATTTTAAGTTGTTCTGTACGGGGTATTTTCTTATCTGTCAATCATCGCGCACTTTGATGTTCCACTTTATCAATGGTTTGTGGTTTACATTTTTCGAGTGTTTTATACTTGCCTAGGACAATCTTCTGTGATTTTTCAATGGTCAAAAATATTGTCGAGAGTGGGGCAAAACGGCCCATAGGTGGGGCAAAACGGCCCACCCTCTGTTACATGGGTATTAAAACCAAAATTAATCAATTACAAGACTCGTCCATACACTTCTTATCTCAGACGTTCAAATCTTTGACAGATAAAGTATTCTTCACCGCTACCATAATTCTAGTCATTCGATATGTGTCGGAGTGAAATAAGGTACAAACCAAATGTTAAAATCGTTATATTTGAAAACCAATTCTACTTGCAAAATAAGATTTTTGTATGTTATAACATGTGTGGGCCGTTTTGCCCCAAAGACATGTGAATTTTCAAATAGACGTCATTTTAATTTGCCTAATATTTGAAGCTCGAAATTTTTATAAATAAAGAATAAATGTGCAAACTCTATGAAAAATGTTAAATCAAAACGATATTCTATAGTTGCCGGATTTTTTAGAGATTCTCGTGGGAGGGGTAATTTACAAAAAAGAGGGTGAAAAATAGAATTACCTCTTACGTAAAGCGAAACGCTGCTTGGTTAAAAATGGGCGGTCGAGAAGGTGGCAGACATTTCAAAATTCGATTATGTGACTTTTGAAGAACCATCTTTTTATAGTTCAAAAGATATTTCGATGGGCCACTTTGCCCCAGAGTGCCGTTTTGCCCCAGAGTGCCGTTTTGCCCCATGTTCCCCTACTTGTATTATAATTAAATAACAAACGAACTGTTAGACATAACACGTACATAATATTCAATTCAAAATATATTAATAAAAACTGTATCATAACAAGTAATTAAAACTAGTTTCTCATTATTATTAATTCTTTAGATTTTATGTGTGTTACCTTCTCTTATCGAACACAATACGGTATGTTTTGTTCAGTACTGAACTGCTGATCGTATAATTTCTGGCGCCTCTCTTTATGAAGTGGGGATAAGAAACGTTTAGCTTCGAACAGTCACTTTTACCAGTTAACAAAGATATCATGGCCTCGAGGTTGACGATTTTAGAATTCCTAACGTCCAATTTAACCCCCTTAACTTTACACACTTGGACACCGTCTTTTGTTTCATAGGCATACTTTTTCGACCCTAAAAACAAAAACGAAAATCATGACATTCACACTTGAAATTTAATGTACATCTTTATTTGGGCTTATAAACGCCACAATATATTGTTTTGTATTATATATATAAAATTATATATTCTGTTTAATTCTTTAGGGACAATCGCACATTTAACGTGTGCCGTGTAACTCACCAAGTAAACACTGTTTACTAAACAGGGGTCTATTATTAGCCACACTACCACATTTTTCCACAAATAGGCCCGACTGTTACAGTATAAATCAAAGAATCGGTGTCATGGTAACATAATCTCTCCTGTAACGGTTCCATGACCTCTAAAAAATGCAACCTACCATACGCGCTACTCATGGCGGCGA